CAAAACAAAGTCAAAGTCAAGGCTAGACAGAAGGTAGGTACTGGCGCAGTTGTGTTACGGCTTTTTATATAGTATTTCAACTAATAACTATTGTAATATGAAACAAACTTCAGTAGTGAATGAACCAACCGCCTGCAGCGCACGATACTCCCAGTTTCAAGGTCAAACCATAACAGCCACATAAAGGCAAACGCCCCGGCCTCATGACTAGAACACAAGCATAGCCCGCAGCTGAGTGGTTAGCGCTTAATTATCGGCACTTGAAGTAGAGCAGCCTTGAAAAGCTGCTTTGGGTCAGCGTGACGCATGTCATGCGTCACAGCCTTGAAAGGGTACTTGGAGTTAGTACAAGACTAAAGTGAGTGACCTGGCCCCAGCAAGATTTATGTGTGTGTGCAAAAGGCTTAACCCGCGCACCGACGGGGGGGCGGATATCCGCCCCCCCCCTGAGGTTTTTCGCGAATAGCGGAAAAACCGCGGGGCGTAGCGCCGCGAAATTTGGTATGACTATAACCTCATCAATTTTACACATGGTGTGCAAGTTTGAACTTCCTACCTTTTAAGGTCAGGTCACCAGGTCACTTTGAATGACCCAACTTCAAGTCACTTTTTTGCAACTTTGTCACCGTGCCACAGCTACAGTAGATGTCGGAGGCCTTTGAAAGTCGCAGGATATTATTAGGTCATTAGTAGCTACAATTTGCATATCTCGGAATTTTGATATCGGTGACCTAAGGTCACGTCAATTTCGCGACCTCCCCATTATAAGTCAATGGGGGAAAAATCAACTCCCTGTTTTTACCACTAAAACGGGTCGGAATGGCCCCATATACTTAACATGACTTCATATACGATCAACCTTCACTACCTTGAGGTCTGTTTTGCTGTTGGGCAGCTGTGAGGTCATGTGACGTCATCAAAGGTCACCAAAGGTTTTTGGCCAATAACTCCGTACAGGAACAAGATACAGACGCGTGGATGGTCTCATTGTGTTCAGCTCGTCAAGACGCATCGAATGATATACATGATGACCTCGAGGTCACGTGACCTGAGGTCAACCTTTGACCTTGACCTTTCGAGGTCAACATATATATCATTCGATGCGGATTGACGAGAGGATCACGATGATGCCCTTAGTTTGTTCCTATCTTGACTAATACGAAAGTTATTCGAGAAAAACTCTCCATATCTAGCGCCGCCATTTTGACTTTTTCGACCCCTGTGACGTCATCTTTGACCTGACCTGAAAATGACCTTAGTAAAAATTGTACATCTTGGCCGTGCGTATCCGATGCCGTTTACCGCTTGTCGCTATCTTGCTTCGTTCTCGAGATCTCAGGGGGGCGGTCATCCGCCCCCCCCGTCGGTGCAAAGTTGGCGCAGACCCCCGTCGGTGCGCGGGTTAACGCCAGTCGCGCTGAGGCTTTCGCTGTACGAACGGTATTGATCGCGGGGTTTTCGAGGTATTTCCTTGGCTATTTCTGGTTTGCTTTCGGACGATGTAACTTTTGAAGGTAAAATAATCGATTGCCATTGCTTTATCAACAACTGAACATACAATGAAAATGTCAAGCTTAGAAGATGCAGTTATTTCATAGTGGATACACCTACCCATTTCATAGCTCGCTTCGAAATTATATGAAACCTATGGTAAGTGTTCATCATATTCACTTAAAACCGTTGTCGTTATAGATTTAATAATTACAAAAGTCCTACAATTTTCAATCAAAGTGCGTTTGAGAAAGTTCCAGCTTTGACATGACATGCTGAAAGGTAGCCTGTAACGCAACTTTTCAAATCACTGAAATCCTCTCATAAGCTCCCACAACATCCAAAGTGTTTTACCGCACCACCCTCCCACTCGCAAATTACAACCCCTCCCCCACAAACTTCCCCCAACCCTTCCTAGTACGACACACATGATCCCTTCTTCGCTCATATCACTGCAGCACATCATGTCTTGAGGTCCTTCATATCACTAATTGCTATTTGTGTGGTAAGACAGGTCGTATTTTCGCTCTAGCGATGAGGAGACTCATGAAGCTTCGTGTATGGATTGGGACTTGGGAGGATCAGGAGGAGGATTTTGGGCATTAGAGCGTGGCATTATAACTGGGCGAATAAAGGGCATTGACCTAGCTAAGCTGTTAGTAAAGCCGTTTTGAGTGGCGAATTTATTGAATCAGGCCGTATGATAAGGTAGCAGTGCAAATATGTGTGAACACCATAGGATAAAAACAATACTCATTGCGATCACAATTTACAAACATATGATCGGCATTCAAAACTTGAGAATGATAAGTAGAATGGAAGTGGATAATGTTAAAAAATGGTGCAACTTGGAGACATAATAGCCCCGACATAAATGGCTGAATTTGTAATACCTAAGATATTTGATATATATAAAATGTCTGACTCGTGCCGGAATGCCAGAAACGTTAAGCTGATGGCCTGGAAAAATTTCATCAACCAATCACACAAGCTGCTAGAAACAGCCACACTCACTATTGCCTGTCATCTGCCACTCCCGACAGCCTAAACTCGCGAGTGTATCGATTCCCACTCGCCATCACCTATTGATTATCACGTACGAGCTGTTCTGTTATTGATTATCAAGTGGAGGCCATCAACGGGCATCACTGAAAAAGGTAGACGCTGCTGTAGAATAGATGTATGCCAAATACTAAGTCTGTAGAAAATACCTATCTATAGGTATCTAAAGATGCTAAAATATGTCAATGGGAAGGATCTTTTAGAATAGGTCAGGGACTGAACAAGAGATCAGATCAATAGAAAGGAAATATGTACATTATCATTGACCCTTCTCTGATATCTGCAATTAGTGCAGCTAGTGTTGTACAAAGGCTGATTTTCATTGCAACTGAACTTAACTACAAGCCCAGATATAAACTACAGTTGTAAGCAATGCATACCCGTTACAAATGAGTGTGTAAACACGCCTGTTTAGTCTGTTTGAGAACGACAACAATATATCCCGGCTCAAACTGATCATAATTCAGTTCACAGTAATATGCCGAGATAGGTATGTGAAAACTATGCTGCTTAGAGCGCACTATGCTGTTTTGAACGATTTAGCCAAGTGGCAAGGCTAACGGAATTATTTGTAACTAGTGTCTTAACTCAGCGGTGTGCTGATCATCAGCAAGGCAGAAGTGAAAGACACACAAGGATCACAACATGGATTCCATCTAAGCCACGCCACAATCTAAGAGTTTCCGTAACTGAACAGTTAGAAGTGACCTTGTTTTTGTTGCGTTTAAGTTTTCATTTCAACATCAAACAAAATTATAGTCGAACCCGACCGTGACTCACTTTTTCCAGAACCTCCACCTCCAACTGAAAACAACGGTCAATCGATGGTTGATTCGGTGTGAAACAGAGACGCATCGACCGGATTTGATCGCTCCAAGGACACGCTCTCTCTCTCTCTCTCTCTCTCTCTCTCTCTCTCTCTCTCTCTCTCTCTCTCTCTCTCTCTCTCTCTCTCTCTCTCTCTCTCTCTCTCTCTCTCTCTCTCTCTCTCTCTCTCTCTCTCTCTCTCTCTCTCTCTCTCTCTCTCTCTCTCTCTCTCTCTCTCTCTCTCTCTCTCTCTCTCTCTCTCTCTCTCTCTCTCTCTCTCTCTCTCTCTCTCTCTCTCTCTCTCTCTCTCTCTCCTCTCTCTCTCTCTCTCTCTCTCTCTCTCTCTCTCTCTCTCTCTCTCTCTCTCTCTCTCTCTCTCTCTCTCTCTCTCTCTCTCTCTCTTATATGTATTCAGTGTGTTCTGTCTGCACAATATGCGGAGTGCGCAAACTGCTGTTCATCTTTCTTTTGCTCGGTGCTTCAAGAAAACAGTGCATGGATAAAACACAGCATTAAACGCATACAGTAAGCTGTCATAAACGATAATCAGCCATCCGAATCTTATTCACCGTTTCAGGTTAACATGTTAACTAAACATTGGACTTTTGTTACGACTAATCATAACAAAAAAAACGGGATCGTACCCAATCGTAAAATACGCTACAAATATTGATAGTCGAGCGTGAAGTGCAGTAGCTCACTCCTGAGTAGCCGTGCACAGGCATTGGCTTTGGCCGCCTGCAGAAGCGAAGCCCTTATGTGACCGCGATCTCGTGTGTGCCCTTGGGCGGCTCGCGGACGCCGCGCTGGGTCGGCTCACTCTAATACACAGTCTGGAACGGATCGCGCCGCCTCTGTCGAGTAGTTACAGCATGAAGTCAAAGTGTCTGTCGTCCTGGCGTAGCCCCTCGCCACCACCCCCTCCCCCTCCCACCCCACCAATGGCCTTCCACGGGGTCCTGGGAATGAAGCGTTTCGTATCGGTGTTGGGGTTGCTGGGGGCGGGAGGGAGGGGGAGGGGTCTGAACGATCGATACGGAACGATAATTGTCCAACAGTGGAGGCCACTGTAGTGGCAGTCATGGAAACTGGACAGAACTGAACTGAAGCCGCGTGAAAAAGGCACGGTGGACTAAGTGATGATGATGATGAATAGGAGTTTTTGGGCGCCCGGATGTGGTTGTGTAAACATTACAGTGCCATTAGACTGCGGAGACACAGCAATGGTGGAGTGAGGATTGTTGGTTGTGGTTTAAACTGTGGACAGGGGCTTATAAATAGTGGTCGACTCTCTTTCTCTCTCTCTCTCTCTCTCTCTCTCTCTCTCTCTCTCTCTCTCTCTCTCTCTCTCTCTCTCTCTCTCTCTCTCTCTCTCTCTCTCTCTCTTTCTCTCTCTTTCTCTCTCCTCCTTATATCGACACAGACACCACAATACCCAATGGGGCTATTTCGTGACATAGTGCTCCATATTGACTACGTCTCTGAATATTCAGGACCCGGCCCACTTCTTGCATCCCGCACGCACCCAATGGGACACGAAATAACTGCGAGAATGGCATAATGCCAGGTCCAAGATGAAATGATTGGAATGCTAAATAGAAGACCATTTTTTGCATTGAAAAAATGCCTCCTTGTTGACCATGACTGTAATTATTTACATATATAAAAATCAAAATGTCTGTACGTATGTATGTATGTATGTAACGCGTCAGTCACGCTTGGAGGGCTATTGCTACGGAACGGTGCGGGCTACGGGGGTGAAATTTTTGACGCAAGTCGGACGCTTGCATCTGTTTGTCGTATTAAATTTTGGTGGGGGTGGGTTCGGCAGTTTGCACGTGGCGGGCGCATCTCTGCGGCATTTTGGGCCGCGGCCGGTGCCGAGCAGACGGCAAGGCGTCTGCCTTGCCGTCTGCTCGAGAGAAAGAGAGACCGGCGAGCGCGAGTGGAGTTCCAGAGCGCAACTAGCGGCGAGCGGGTGTACAGGGCGGGCCTGCCTCAGGGCAGCGTCCTGTCCCCGGCCCTGTTCTTGTTATGGGCCGCCCCACTCGCCGCGGAACTCCAGAAGACCCCTGGCACCACGGCGTTCCTCTATGCCGACGACACTGCGGCCCTGTGCTCGGGCAACAACATCGAGGTCGCCAAACTACGCGCACAACAGGCAGCGGACGCGCTCGTCAAGTGGGCCCGCGCTTCCAAGATGGTGGTTGCCGGCCAGAAGACTCAGGCGCTGGTCCTGTCGCAGTGGGCCCGGGACGCCGTCAACTGCTCCGTCCAAGTGGCAGGGGAGACGGTCGTCGCGGGCGACCAGCTGAAGCTGCTTGGAGTCACACTGGACCGACTGCTCCACTTCGGAGCCCACTGTCGCAGCCTCCGCCAGCGCGTGCGACCTCGAACCAACCAACTCAGACTGCTGACCGGGCGTGAGTGGGGGCTGGAAGAGCGCCAGCTGCGCATCGTCGCCTCCGGCTACATCCGCGGCGCACTGGAACACGCCGCCGCCGCCTGGCTCCCAGCTGCGTCACCGTCCCATATCATGCTGCTGGAGAGGGAGATGCGCGAGGCCGCCAGAGTGGTAACCGGCTGCCCCCGGTCCACTCCAGCACACGCCGTAATGGCGGAGGCGGGCCTCGCCCCGGTGGCCGAGCGACGCACGGCCCTGGCGGCGCGCCTACTGGCCAAGGCGCGCGCCCTCCCGGCTGGAGACCCGCTGCGGAAGGTGGCGGAGAGCCAGGTCCCCACCCGCCTCAGCACCGTGACAGGGTGGAGAGGAGTGGGCGAGGAGACATGGAGAGCGGCGGGCATCTGCCCTCCGATCGAGCCCATCCTCCCCCTGCCGGATCCACCATGGGATCCGTCACCAACGGTTTCCTTCAGCCTCGACATAGGAGCCGCCATCCCAACCGCGGCCAGCGACACCTGGAAGAGAAATGCGGCATCCCAGCACCTGGCGGCGCTCCCGCAGTGCGCCACCTGGGTGTGGACCGACGGCTCGGCCACCGACGGCGTCCTGAACGGTGGCGCCGGAGCCCTGATCGTGTGGCCGGACGGAGAGGAACGATCGGTCCGCGCCCCGGCGGGCCGCCTGTGTTCAAGCTTCCGGGCTGAAATGGTCGCCCTCCGGACCGCCCTCTCGTTCCTTCTGGAGAATCCGCTTCACGCAGACGACCCCGTAGTAATCTGCACAGACTCACAGTCCGCCCTCGCCGCACTCCGAGAGGGCCCGGCCGCCCAGCACTCCCCGCTGGGAGGGGCCATCTGGAGAGCCCTCCGGGGCCTGACGGCGGGAGGCCGGCAGGTCCACCTGCAATGGGTGCCCTCGCACTGCGGACTGGAGGGGAATGAGAGGGCGGACTCGATCGCCAAGGAGGCCAGCAATCTCGCCCAGGACCAAGCCCCCATCGACGTCCAGACGGCCCGCCGGGCCGCCGCCAGAGTGGCGAGGGCCCGGACCATCCGAGCCTGGCCGGCCGGCTGGTTCCGCCGACTGACCGGGGACCGCCTCCCGCCGGCCGTGGCCGGCGGAGACCGGTCGGCGGCGGTGGACGTACACCAGCTCCGCGCCGGCCACTGGACCAGCTCTACACAGTGGCGCCACAGAGTCGGGCTGGCGCCCTCCCGCACACAGATCCATCGCAATTTCAAATGTGGCCAAAACCTCGAATAACGACCATTTTTAAATTCCTTCAGTGAGTGATTTTTTAACACAAAACGGATTGAAGCATCTGAAATCACCTTCGGCATATTTTTTAACCACCTGATCTCCGCTCACCGCAGTCGTGAACCTGGAACTTCTTTGGAAGCGCATGGTAGACCCAAAAGACATGTGAAACGCGCGCAACTTTGAGTGACTGTAACATTGTAATAATTTGATCGAAACTGCAATAAATGGGCATCGCTGTGTTGCATGGTTCGTGCTGAAAATTTTGGTACCAAAAATAATGTTTTAGCTCGTCATCAATGCCATGCTAATTAGCAATGTTCGGGCACATGCATCACAGTCCGCATTTTCACTCATCGCATACTTGACAAAGGCCTACAAGAAAATCATCAATCACCCCCCAAAATTCGAATGGCTTAAAATGAGCCTGAGAACGTTCACAAACGGTTCCCGAAAGAATTAGCTGGGCATCAGTGGTCAAACGTTTGCTATGGGGGCAGAAGTGATGTGATGTCGGGCGGATTCGGCCGGCCGGCTGACCCGCGAGTCAGCGTCAGCTGTTGCTAGGCTGGGTCAGGGTCGACCGAGGTCAATATTGGCTGGTTGCCAGCGGGCGTCTGCTTGCATTTGGTGAGAGTATGAAAAGTGCAAAATATGAAATCAATCCGACGCGTTTTAATATGTGCACCTTTACTTTGAAAATTTTCACAAATGCATTGGAGGAAAAAAATCCACATGTGAAAAATTGTTATAAATTTAGGTCTATAACATGTAAAATGATGAGAGGATTCCAAATCTGGTCACAAAATTCAAATCGGAGAACATTTGACTCCTGTTTTGGCCAAAAACTGTCCAAATTTGCCCAAATTGGATATTTTGCCTATTTTCGACGTTTTTTTTTTTGCCAAAACAGGGGTCAAATGTTCTCCGATTTGAATGTTACGACCAGATTTGGAATCCTCTCATCATTTTACGTATTATAGGCCCAAATCAGTAACGAGTTTTCATTTTTGACCTCCAATGCATTTTTGAAATTTTTCAAAGTAAAAGCGCACATAGTAAAACGCGTCGGAATGATTTCATATTTTGCACTTTTCATACTCTCACCAAATGCAGCCAGACGCAGGAAGGGAACCGATGATCCCAGACAAAAGTGTTTTTTTACGAGCCCTAAAATAATCCCTCTTCAAAATTTCGCGTATCGCAAAAAATGTGGTTTAAAATGGCAGAAATATTTCTCATTTTCAAAGAGCGTGATTCATCTGCTTTCATTTGAGCCCCTTATCACATCTCTAGCTTCCGTAGTTTTTGCGCTAGAGGTTTTGTCCACATTTGAATTCGAGACGGACCTGTGTGTCCCGGCTGGCGGGGTGCGAGCAGTGTGACGATCAACACTGCAGGGCTGCGCTCTGCCCCGTCTGCCGGGAGGAGGCGGACACCCCCCAGCATGTCCTCCTGCGCTGCCCGGCCCTGATGGCCACCCGACACCGACTGCTGGGATCCATCAACCCCGACCTTGAAGAGGTGCGGAGCGGCGCCATCGTGGCGGCCCTGGGGGCCGCCCACAGGTCCCTACAGAGCCGGACGGCTACGTCTCAGCTGTGAGACGGAGGGACTAACAACAACAACAACAGCAGACGGCACGCGCCTTAGGCTCAGTTTCTTCGCTTTCAAAACTGGGTAAAATCAGAGCCGGAAGGTCACTGACCTTTGGCAATGAATACCGGAACAGGGCACCGCCGGCCAGGAGGAGTTGCTAAATTTATTCTGGCCATAACTCGGCCGCTACTGGGCCGATTTAAATGAAATTTACATATATAAAAATCAAAATGTCTGTATGAAACGCGTCAGTCACGCTTTAAGGGCTATTGCTCCGGAACGGTGCGGGCTACGGGGGTGGAATTTTGGACTAAAGTCGGACGCGTGCATCTGTTTGTCGTATTAAATTTTGGTGGGGGTGCGCTTGCCGGTTTGCACGTGGCGGGCGCATCTTTGCGGAATTTTGGGCCGCGGCCGGCGCCGAGCAGACGGCACGCGCCCTAGGCTCAGATTGTTCGCTGCGAAAATGAGGGAAAACAGAGTCGGAGGTCGTTGACCTTTGGCAATGAATACCGGACCAGGGCACCGCCGGCCAAGAGGAGACGCCAAATTTATTCTGGCCATAACTCGGCCGCTCCTGGGCCGATTTTAATGAAAATTGATTTATTACGCTGCGCGTAATGCTGTCCCTCTAGTTACTTATATAAAAATCAAAATGTCTGTACGTAACGCGTCAGTCACGCTTGGCGGGCTGTTGCGAGGCGACTTTATGTGTTGCGGGGCTGAAACTTTGGCGCCGAGTCGGGCGCGTGCAACCATTTGTCGCATTAAATTTTGGTGGGGGTGCGCTCGGTGGTTTGCACGTGGCGGGCGCATCTTTGCGGAATTTTGGCCGCGGCCGGCTTCGAGCAGAGAGCACGCGCCTTAGGCTCAGTTTCTTCGCTTGCCAAACTGAGCGAAATCAGAGCCGGAAGGTCACTGACCTTTGGCAATGAATACCGGAAAAGAGCACCACCGGCCAAGTGGAGACGCCAAATTTATTCTGGCAATAACTCGGCCGTTACTGGGCCGATTTTAATGAAAATTGATTTATTACGCTGCGCGTAATGCTGTCCCTCTAGTTTACATATATAAAAATCAAAATGTCTGTACGTATGTAACGCGTCAGTCACGCTTGGCGGGCTACTGCTCCGGAACGGTGCGGGCTACGGGGGTGGAATTTTGGGCGCAAGTCGGACGCGTGCATCTGTTTGTTGTATTAAATTTTGGAAGAGGTGCGCTCGGTGGTTTGCACGTGGCGGGCGCATCTTTGCAGCATTTTGGGCCGCGGCCGGCGCCGAGCAGACGGCACGCGCCTTAGGCTCAGTTTCTTCGCTGCAAAACTGGGTGAAATCACTGGCGGGAGGTCACTGACCTTTGGCAATGAATACCGGAACAGAGCACCGCCGGCCAGGAGGAGACGCTAAATTTATTCTGGCCATAACTCGGCCGCTACTGGGCCGATTTCAATGAAAATTGATTTATTACGCTGCGCGTAATGCTGTCCGTCTATAGTTCGTTTTTTCTAAGTTCGACCCTCACTGTAAGCATCATTTTGAACAAAGCACGAGAATTGCTAGCTGAATTACTTTAAAAACTGGTTAGCGCACATTGTACTGGAGATATGAATAATATTTTCCAAATAAGTTTTTTAACACCGATGATATACCATTCTGTGAAACGCCGTGCAATTTATTTATTAGTTCAATTATAATTTCTGACAAGTCGTCTTTCCCTGTGGGGTTGTATATACAGGCAAATACGAGGTAGGAGTCTGGGAAATAAGAGCAAGGAAGAAACAATTTTGAATAAAATTAATCGTCGGTGAAATCAATGTGCGCCAGTCAGTTTTCTCAGTAATTCAGCTCAGGGGCGGATCCAAGGGGGGGGGGTCACATGGGTCATGGCCCCCCCTTGCGGCCCGGGGGCCCAAAGACCTGCCAGGGGCACCACCGGCCTATCAGGGGTATCACAGTCCTGACAGGGGCACCACAGGACCGCCAGGGGCACCACAGGCCTAGCAGGGACACCACGGGCCTGGTGCCCCTGGGCCCTGACAGGACTGTAACACCCCTGACAAGCCTGAAGTGTCCCCGGCAGGCACGTGGTGCCCCTGACAGGCCTGAGGCGCCCCTGCAAGGCCGGTGGTGCCCCTGGCAGGCCTGTGGTGCCCTTGCTAGGCCTCTGGTGCCCCTGACAGGCTTGTAATGCCCCTGGAAGGACTGTGGTGCCCCTGGGCCCTGACAAGCCTGAGGTGCCCCTGACAGGCCAGTGGTGCCCTTGCTAGGCCTGTGGTGCCCCTGGCAGGCCTCTGGTGCCCCTGACAGGCTTGCGGTGCCCTTGGAAGGACTGTGGTGTCTCTGGGCCCTGACAAGCCTGAGGTGCCCCTGACAGGCCCGTGGTGCCCTTGTTAGGCCTGTGGTGCCCCTGGCAGGCCTCTGGTGCCCTTGCTAGGCCGCTGGTGCCCCTGGCAGGCCCCTGGTGCCCTTGCTAGGCCGCTGGTACCCCTGCGCCCGGAGAGGACTGGTGCCCCTGAAAAGTCTGAAGTGCCCCTCGGCAGGCCCGTGGTGCCCCTTACAGGCCCAAGGTGCCCCTGCGAGGCCGGTGGTGCCCCTGGCAGACCTCTGGTGCCCCTGGCAGGTCTGTGGTGCCCCTGGCAGGTCTGTGGCGCCCCTGGCAGACCTGTGTTGACTGGTGCCCCTGCTAGGTCGCTGGTGCCCCTCACAGACCTGTGATGCCCCTGGGCCTTGACAAGCCTGAGATGCCTGGCTATGACAGGCTCGTGGTGCCCCTGATAGACCAGTGGTGCCCTTGCTAGGCCTGTAGTGCCCCTGGCAGGCCTCTGGTGCCCCTGCTACCCCTGCGCCCGGAGAGGACTATGGTGCCCCTGAAAAGCCTGAAGTGCCTCTCGACAGGCCCGTGGTGCCCCTGGGCCCTGACAGGCCCAAGTTACCCCTGCGAGGTCGGTGGTGATCCTGGCAGGCCTCTGGTGCCCCTGGCAGGCCTGTGTTGACTGGTGCCCCTGCTAGGCCGCTGGTGCCCCTCACAGGCCTGCGGTGCCCCTGGAAGGACTGTGGTGCCCCTGCCCCCTAGGGGTGCTCATGGGCCCAACAGGCCCGTTGTGCCCCTGACAGGCCTGTCGTGTATACTTGCTAGACCTGTGGTGCCCCTGCTTCCTGGCAGGCCTGTGGTGCCCCTGGCGGGCCTGTGGCGCCCCTACTAGGCCGTAGGTGCCCCTGACAGGTTTGTGGTGTCCCTGGAAGGACTTTGGTGCCCCTGATAAGCCTGAAGTGTCAAGGACAGACCCTTTAGACGCCAGGGTCAAGTTCGTCGGACTGACAACGATTTGCTTACTTGATAACGTTCCTGGTAAGTACTCACTACTCAGCGTCCACAACATATATACACATAGCACATTCATATATACTTGCTTACAATTGGTAAATGTGGTTGTGGCTAAGAGTTAAGATACTGACTAAAAATAAAAAATAAAAAGAAAAAAAAACTGAAAATGGGGGCACCACCAAAATGAAGTGGACGAAATCCGTTGAGTTTTTAATTTTGGGTATAGGTAGGGGCACCACTTCGATTCATGACCCTCCCCTTGGAGTTTTCCTGGATCCGCCCCTGATCTCAGCTAGCAATTCTCGTGCTGTGTTCAAAGAGACGATTACAGTAAGGGTCGAACTTAAGAAAAACGAACTATAGTTACATATATAAAAATCAAAATGTCTGTATGTATGAAACGCGTCAGTCACGCTTGACGGGCTATTGCTGTGGAACTGTGCGAGCTACGGGGGTGGAATTTTGGGCGCAAGTCAGACGCGTGCATCTGTTTGTCGTATTAAATTTTGGTGGGGGTGGGCTCGGCGGTTTGCACGTGCCGGGCGCATCTTTGCGGGATTTTGGGCCGCGGCCGGCTTCGAGCAGAGAGCACGCGCCTTAGGCTCAGTTTCTTCGCTTGCCAAACTGAGCGAAATCAGAGCCGGAAGGTCACTGACCTTTGGCAATGAATACCGGAACAGAGCACCGCCGGCCAGGAGGAGACGCCAAATTTATTCTGGCCATAACTCGGCCGCTACTGGGCCGATTTTAAAGAAAATTAATTTATTACGCTGCGCGTAACAGGGGCGGATCCAGGAATTTTCGAGAGGGGGGGGGGGGCGGCAAGTCGAAATAGGGGCGACCTGGCAATCCGGGGGCGCTGAATACAAAGGGGGCGCCAAACCGTCAAAATCGGGAGCTAAAAGCCCGCGCCGTGCTAGGGGGCGTTATCGCGCTCCCCCTCAGGTTTTTCGCATATATCTGAAAAACGGCTGCGCGCAGCGCCGCCATTTTTACCATACCTTATCATGCATCTTTTTTGCACATGTTGTAAAAATGTCTGACGCGGGCGATGGAAGGTCAGGTCACCAGGTTATGCCAGGTGACCTAGCCTAAGAAAAAGTTCAAATGCTTACCATTGCTATACCGACTGAACGATTGCTTTGAACCTTTCAGCGATTGATGAAAGCAACACTATTCATGAAATGTACCTATATCTCGGAATTTCGATATCTGTGACCTAAGGTCAGGTCAGTTGTGCGACGTCTCCATTAGGTAGGTAGGTATAATTAAGTCTTTGGGAGAAAACTGAAAGGCATCTCTTTTGGACGAGCGCCATTCTAGACAATATCAAGCATTGGGATACATCGATAGGCGTTATCACAAGTGTATTCGCGGCCATTGGGGCGACGTAAGAAAAGAAGAAAACAACTGGCCCCAAGAACTTTAAATTATCAGTTAGCATGCACCTTTTCCTTGATCTGTAGAGAATTTACCATTAATTGCTAGAGAAAATTGCATTTAAAATTTTCCATCTATGCTTTTTTCATCGTTTGCACAATATGTTCTTTTACTAACCCGCGCACCGACGGGGGGGGGGGCGGATATCCGCCCCCCCCCTGAGGTTTTTCGCAAATAGCGGGAAAACCGCGGCGCGTAGCGCCGCGAAATTTGGTATGACTATTCCCTTATCAATTTTACAC